CATTTTGATTATATTGGCATAGCATAAGGATGGGCAATTAATATCTCTCCAATTATTTAAGTCTCACTTTATTTCTATAAAGTATATTTAGTAGTTGTATTCACATAATTATTCTGTTTCTTGGTAAATGAACTCCAAGATATTTGTAGCTATTCTGAATGTAATTTTCCCCCTCTATCTCATTCTGCTTTTAATAGCAGTAAACTGAAAAGACTGATAATTTTTATGAGGTTATTTTATACTTCTTACTACTTTATTTCCTTTTTTTTTTAGTTTTATCTGTACGGTTTTATAAATTAGCATCACACCATCTACAAAAAGCAACAACTGTTTTTTCTTTGCCTTCGTTAATTCACTCAATTTCTTTTTCTTTCTATACTTTTCTAGATACCATAGCTAGAAATATATGTAATAAATAATGGTAAACATGAACATCCTTGCTTTATCTCTGATCAGATTTGAAAGGCCTCTATAATTTCTTCATTATAGATAATCTTCACTGTGGACTTTAGAATGATGCTATTTACCATGCTAAGGACAGGTCTAATTATCCATATCCTTTAGCACTTTAAAAAAACATATATATATATGTGTATACACACACACACACATACACACACACACATATAAATATCTATCTATCTATCTATCTATCTATCTATCTATCTATCTCCTATTTTTCTTTCAGATGGTAAACTGTGAATTATCTTTTGCAAACTGTTCACCTCTCTCTCTCTCCTTTTCTTTTTGGTGAAGCAATGGGGGTTAAGTGACCTGCCCAGGGTCACACAGCTAGTAAGTGTCAAGTGCCTGAGGCTGGATTTGAACTCAGATCCTCCTGACTGTAAGGCCAGAGCTCTATCCACTGCGCCACCTAGCTGCCCCTTGTCTGTTCATCTCTTGACAAAGTTTCCATTCTGAATTTACTGTAAGTTTGAACCTAAGTTTAAGACTGTCTTCTAGTTATCCAAGAGTTCTTATAAAAAGGGAACCCTTTCTTAAGTAATTTATGAGACTTATTGAATGTGATTTTATTGAGTTCAGTTACTTCTCTGTCTTCTTGTCTAGCTTGTTTCACATGTTTTATTTTCTAGTTTTTGGGATTAGTACTACATTGTTTTGACGATTATTGCCCTCTAATATAGTTTAAGATCCAGCAGTCCTGTTCTTCCTTCATTTGTATCTTTTTTTCATTACTTCCTTTGATATTCTAGGCATCTTGGCATAATACGGGGAGTGCTAGATTTGGAATCTAGAAGATCAGAGTCTGAATCTTACCTAAAATACCTATTAGTCATGTGACCTGAGCAAGTCACCTAACTTCTCAGTTTCAGTATGAAGTTAATAATAGTCTTAAATGATGAAATAATGTATAAAAGTACTTTATGACTCAAAGTGTCTTATGAATACTAGCTATTATAATTATTTGTTATTTAGTTAGGTGGTGCAGTGGGTAAAAATGCTGGGCCTAGAGTTGGGAAGGCTAGAGTTCAATCTAGTCTCAAGACACTGAGCAGCAGTGTGACCCTGGGCAAATCACTTAACCTTTGTCTGCCTGAGTTTTCTCAATCGTGAAATAAGGATAATAACGGCATCTACCTCACAGTATTGTTGTGAAGATCATCTGACATAACACTTGTAATGTGCTTAGCACAGTGCCTGGCACATAGTGGGTGCTTAAAAATGTTTGCTTTTTTCCTCACCTCCCTAGCCTCTTCTCAAATTCAATCTATCTCCACAAAATATCCCTTTGATAGTTTGGTTGGTAGGTTAATGGTGGAAAATATTTTTGGCAGTATTGACATTTTTATTATATTGGCATGGCCCAGCCATAACCACAGAATATTCTCATTTCTTTCTTTCTTTTTTTGGTTAGGCAATGGGGTTAAGTGACTTGCCCAGGGTCACACAGCTAGTAATTGTTATGTGTCTGAGGCCAGACTTGAATTCAGGTCCTCCTGAATCCAGGGCTGGTGCTCTATCCACTGCGCCACCTGGCTGCCCCCTCCATTTCTTTAAGGAGCATTTTATAACTATCTATGATAGTTACTGACAGCCTCATTCCATTTCCTTGTTCTAAATAAGTCATATCATCTTGTTGTATTTTTAAGTATTCTATGAATTCACCAATATATAAGTAGTGAAGTGATATGAAAAAAGTTTCTCAAAGAACAGCAAATTAAATCAAAATTGCTCTAATTCACAAATAATAAAAAATCAAATCAAAACAACCCTAAAGTTGTACTTTACAGTTATTCAACAAGCATTTGACAAATACTATATGCTAGATGCCATTCTAAGTGCTAATAATGGAGAAAAGACAGTATCTTCCCTCAAGGAGATCTCATTATAGTGTGAGAGAGAAAACAAAAATAATTATGTATATAACATGCATGTATGTGTTGATATATATATGGATTGCATATGATATATATACAGCAACACATATATGCATATAAACATATACATAAATATCTATATCTATAGATTTACCTATTTAGAAAGCAGATTGAAGATTATCCCAGAAAGCAGGCAATGGAAGCACAAGAGAGTGGGATTTCAGAAAGTAGAATGTGAGCTGAGTCCTGAAGAAATAAAGAGAAGGGAAGAGAAGGGGGTAAGGAAAGAGAGCATTTTAGGCATGGGGGACAGTAAACACCAAGGCATGTGTTAGAAGATGGAATGTCTTAATGGAGAAACAGCAAAAAAGCCAGTGTAGCTGGATCACAGAATAGATGATGGGAGTAAAATATATTAAGAGTGGTGAGACAGGAAGGAACCATGTTGTAAAATGTGTTTAAATTAGAATTTATATTTGTTTCTGGAAGCAATGGCAAGCCACTGAGATTACTGAGTAGGCAGAATGGCATTGCCAAACTCGTGCTTTAGGAAAATCACTTTGGTTTAAAACTAAGTAAAGGAGGAGCGGCTAGGTGGTGCAGTGGATAGAATTCCAGCCTTAGAGTCAGGAGGACCTGAGTTCAAATGTGACCTCAGACACTTGACACTTACTAGCTATGTGACCCTGGGCAAGTCACTTAACCCAACAGGAAGAGGAAGAAGAGGAAGAGGAAGAGGAAGAGGAAAAAGAAGAAGAAGAAGAAGAAGAAGAAAAAGAAACTAAATGAAGGACAGATTGGAGCTAGGTACAGTCAGGACAAGGAGACAAAGCTAAAAGGTTATTGCAAAGGTACCAGTGAGATGTTAAGGATCCAAGTGAGTAGAGACAAAGGAACATTAACAAAGAATATTGTGAAAAGAGAAATAACAAGATTTGCAAAGAGATGGGATATATGAGGTCACTGTGAGTGAGGAATGCAGTATGACACGGCGGTTTTGAGCCCAGATAACTGTGAAGGTAGTAGTGCCATCAAAAAGAAAAGGAAAGATGGGATGGTCTTTCATTCTCCAGCTACCACTTCTTTTGCAGAGGTGAGGGACTGTGGGTGTCAAACACTGCATATAATGTTGGATTTTCTTTGATGTTAGTTTTATGGATTTTTTTTCTTTATTCTACTTTTAAAATTCTTAATTATAAAAGATGGTTTCCTGGGAAGGTGGAAAGGGAGAAATACAGTGGGAAATGTTAGTGGTATAAAAAACAAAAGATATCAATAAAATTTTATTTCAACAACACTAAAGGGTGTTGTATTTTGTCCAAAGTCTTTTATGTTTCCATTGATATAATCATGGAATTTTTATTGTTTTGTTACTAATATGGTCTGTTAGAGTCATAGTTTTCACACTAATATTGAACCAATCCTGTATTCTAACATATAAATCCAACCTGGTCATAAAGTAACATTTAAAAAATGTTTCTACAGCCTCTTTGCTAACATTTTATTCAATATTTTTGCATTGATATTCATTAGAGATACTGTTCCTGCTTCAGAGGGATTCAAGAGTTGCAGCTTTGTGGTTTTGAGCTAGGTTGAGGCTCCCTGGCCTGTCCTACTTACGACTACCTGCAGGTTTCTACCTGTTAATCACAGCTCAAGCTAGATTTCCCCTCCCCTTTTCTGAGGACTGACAGACTTCTGGTTGTTATCTTACACAGTTCTCATCTGGATGAAGAAGCTTACTATTATTTTTCTTTGGTATTCTTGATCACTGATCTGTCTTGTGCCCTGTCCCCTTTTAGTTATGTTTGCTGGAGTGTATGCCAGAGAGTTGGGCTCGTCTACATGTTTTCATGTAGCTATTTTAATTGGAAGCTTCTGTGTGTGTGTTTGTGTTTGTGTGTGTACGTGTATATATAACTATACATATATACATACACCACACAATTGCTGGGTCATCCAACAACTATCTTTCACTTTCATTTAACTTGGAAGTCTACTTCCCTTTGTGATTATACATTTTCTGAATGATCTATTTTATTTCATTGCTTGAGTGAAAACTGGTAATCTGGAGCCTATGTATGACCACAATGCACTTGTCCATTGTCCTTGTGTACCATTATTCTTCATCTATTTAGTTTTTCTTGTGCATTTTGCTAGGCCAATTTTCCTTGCATTATTATAGATCTATAATGTTCTGAGGTTGAGGTATTGGGCATAATAGCATACCTATAGGATAAATTTTCGGGGGGGGGGAGGTCCATGAACTTTCATGGTAAAAAATTACACTGTTATTTGTAGTAACCTTTAACTCATATTTAGCATTTCCAAGAAAACATTATTCAGAGAAGTAGTCCATAAGCTTCACCGGACTGTTAAATAGGTTCATGATACAGGAAAGGTTGAGAACCTCTGCTGTATAAACAGGATCATATGGAGGACTTGGGTATAGGGAATTTCTCTTCTATGTGAACTCTACTAGGAAAACACCTTATTTTAACATACATCTTCTGAGTTACCTTTTTTGCTACAGCTATCAAGGAATTCTATATATTCTCAACATATCCAAGGGTGATAGCATGATGGAGAAGAGCCTTTAATGCATTTTGCTTAAAACAAATAAAATATTAGTTTCAAACCAACAAATGAAACAGAAAGATATTCTGGATTTTGAAATTTTACTCTTGACTGTGACGATGTGGTCAGTTGCAAAAACTTATTTTGAAACCTTCTTGTTCCAATCTTCTATTTTGATTAAGGATACCCTCAATACATTCTGCAGTTCATTTTATAGTAATCAGATAAAATAAACTTGAGGATGAAATACCAATCCCCTGTGACAATTTGAAACACCAGTGAATCAGTTCACAAAATTGGTATCTAGGATAAAAAAGAGATTTACTACATTAGCCAAAAAATATACCTTGAAGTCAACGAAAATGTAGATCTCAAATCTCTCAAAACCATGTATTTTTTCCAGCAAAGGACTACAAACACAGATATAAATGTTTACGCTCTTCTTTCACTTCATTTCTTCAAGCACTGGATTAACACAGCAATATTAAAGCATCTTCAATATTTTTATATAGATTTCATCTAAGCTTAGCAAATTCTGCTTACTTATATTTTTTAGAAGCAAATAAAGTAAATTTAAATTTATTATCTCTTTTATGCCCCTAAAATTTAGTGAAACTTGGAAGACCTTAAAAGTGAGCAGAAGTAGGGGAACAATTTATACAGTGACCACAAAATGTATAAAGGAAAATGATATTGAAAGACACCAGTATTCTGATCAGTGAACATATTATTTGTTTTCATAGAGGGCTTCTATTTGGGGGGCAAAGGGCAAGTTAGCAGTTAATGACAGAGATGCAAAAAAAACCCCACAAGAAAATAAAAGAGAAAATAATGTCAACGGAAGAAAATAAAAATAAGTTTATATGGTGCATATAGAGTATTTTTTTCTACTAATGTGTTAAATTACACATACACACACACACATCCTAAATGTATATGTACATATATACATTTATGGAAACCACATAAGTTCAGTTTCTTAGACAGTCTTTCTTGTTCTTAATATATTTATGTCTGACAATTAAATTCATGATAAAAAAATTTAAAAACTTGATGAAATTATATATTTTTATATAAATTTTACCTTTTTTGCCCAAATAATATTTTATAATTTATTCATTAATATTCAATACCATTACTATTTTAAAGATGAGTATTAAGGAGATATTTTAGGTTAATCATAATCAGAAATGATCTATTTTTAAAAATAGCTTATTTTCTGATGTTCTTCTATCTCAGTACTGAAGGATAACTCTTTGGGAGTTTCTAGGTTTCTAATGTCTACCTGTTATTTTCAAACTTAGGACTTTAGAACACACTGAAAAATTAATTCTTAGACTGAGTACTATGAACTTTAAAATTTTTCCTTATATCATCCAAACTCTTTGTCCATTTCTGGTTTTTGTAGGAAAAAACCCCCAAAAAACTTTTATTTATTTTGAAAGCCAGAAAGTTTCTTCTTTGTCTTCATCACCAAACTTCAAAACTATGATGTGGCTAGATGAACTCATCTGAGTTTCTCCTTTCTTTGGTTTTATAAATTGTTTTTCTGTACAGAATGTCATTCTCATCCACAGTGCTTTTTAATCTTTTTTCCAGTTGAGTTATTTCTGATCTTGCTTTTCCATCTCAGATGTTCCATCTGCCATTCTCTCCTCTCTTGTCTTGATACAACTTGATACTTTCATAGTTTTGAGCTATATGCCATACTTCTGAATTTCATCATATTCTCCCAAGATTCTTTAGGTACATTTAGTTCCCCTAACCCATCTCATTTTTTAAAATCAATTTAATTTCTTCTTTTAATTTTTACATTATTTTACATTTCTATCTAACAATCATATCTTCAGTCACCCTTTAAACTGTTCTGGATGCAAACTTTGAAGCTGTTTCTGTGTATCTTTCTTCTGACATTCTCTCCCACCCCTCACTACTTCTTATTGCATCATATTTTTTATTTTATCAGTCTCTTCTTTGGTTTTTCATTATCTTTTTGGTTTTAGTTTCATTGTTAGAGTTCCTAAGAAGTTTCTTTATCCTCAGCATTTCTATTGTTATTTTAGGATTAAAGGAAGTGATCTTATTCTATGATCTTTCTAAAGTATTTTATAAGATCATAGAATTTCACATTGCAAGGGACCCTAAAGATAATCTAGTTCAATACTCTCATTTTATAGATGACAACACTGGGGCCCAGACAGGTTAAATGAACTTCTCAAGGTCTGATGAACAAGAAGAAATGGAATATGGAATCAGGACTTTGGATTCCATATCAAATGTTCTTTTCGCCAAACCACAATATTGAATCACATTTAAATTTCCAAAGTTAAATTCAATGCTTTACATAATAGTTATTAGCCACCTGACCTTATACAAATCATTTCAACTCTTCAACTCATCTTCATCTCTAAAAATGGAGATAACAGAAAATAAAATATCTGGCTTATAAAGTTGCCAAGAGAAAAACACTTTGTAATGGAAGTATGAGCCATTATTTATATGCAAGTGCACAACTACAAAGTAAGTCTTTTGAAAGCTATAACCGTTCCTTATACTTTTTAGTGGCTTGAGTTCCTAGCCAAGTACCCTGAAATTTGGCAGCAATAAAGTACTGTTGACTCTGAATGCAATATTTTACTAATCAAGCCATAAATATACGTGAATTATTTTCTTTTTGCAAAATCTGTCCAATTAGTCTAATTTAATTGGGGGAAGGAACAGATCTGTGACATCACTGGACAGAGAACTGAGAATGAGGAAAATTCATTTACCAAATGCAGGTCAGAACCTGCCTTGCCAGCTATAATCTTAGATAGTTGTCTCAGTACACTTAGAGGTTAAGTGATTCGGCAAGGTTCACACAGCCAGTATGTCAGAGGGAAGACCTGAACCCAGGTAGTCCTGACTTTCAAGGCCAGCACTCTATCCACTATGCCAAATTTCCTCTCTTATTCTTCTTTAAGTATTAAAAAAAAATCTATTGTCTATTGTGAGCAAAGTATCATACCAGGAGATAAGATAAATAAGACATGTTCTCAAATAATTGTAATGTAATATGAAATACAATTATAGTACAAAAAAAGGTAAAAAAAAATACGATGAATATGAATGTACAATCTCTTCAGTAATAGCTCTCTCTGGCTATTAGAGTTGGGGGTAAGACATGCAAAACCTGTACTCTAAGTCTAAGACATCAGTAGAGTCAGGTGAAATCAACAGCAAATTCTCATCAACTGCTACTACACTCTAGCAATTTAAGCAGCTTGGTCCAGCAGCCAGCCCCTGGCCAATTACAGAGACACACTGTCGGGAGTCCTGCTGCCATGGAACACACCTTTCTTCTGAACCATCTTCTGAAGTAATGACCCAAAGGAAAAGGCATAAAGGGGTAGCACTGGGTCCCTCACCAGACCTCTAGATTAGCAAATCCTATATGACCTAATGAATCCTATAAAACAGTCATCACTCAGCAAAGTTAGGAATGGAACTGACTAAAATTATTATCATGGAAAAATACTCATTACGGCTTATATTGTGTTAGTCTCACTGCTTTTGGGTAGGGGCAGTGGATCAGAGAATGATCTGCAGGCAGGGCTGTGGCTGAGTAGTTTGCAGAATTTTTTCCCCTCTTTCTTTCTTTTAAACAGGTTGTCATTTTTGTATCCCTAAGACCCCAAGATTTCTCTGCTACAGAGGAGTAAATGCTGTAAGATGCAAAAGTCCCAGCATACTTGTAATGTTCAAAGGAGAGACCATTTCTGGTTGGGGACTGGTGGTTTGCGAGAAGGGGAAAGAATAAGGGAAACTTACTAAGAGACTTATACTTCAAAGAAAGCAAAATGGCAAAAATATTTATATCAGCTCTTTCTGTAGTGGCAAATGACTGGAAACTAAGGGGCTGTCCATTTAGTGAGAATGGCTGGATAAATTTGGAATATGAAAGTAACAGAATAGTATTGTTCCATAAAGAATAATGAAAGGAACAATTTTAGAGGAACCTGATAAGACTTACATGAACTGATGCAGAGTGAAGTGAGCAAAACCAGAATACAATAATCATGACACTAAGGTCTCTGTTCATAACACTATGACTAATCCCACTCACTTTCTGAAAGAAAAGTGATGGATTCTAGACGCAAAATGAAAAATAAATTTTTGGACATGGCTAATGTGAGAATTTGTTTTGCTTGAGTGTGTATATTTCTTAAAAGATTTGTTTTTCTTTTTTGTCAATTGTGGATGAAAGGTGGGAGGAAAAGGACGGCTAAGGCTAGGGTCTCCTCCAAAAAAATTGAGAAGATAAGAAAAACCAGACAGAATCAGAGATAAACAGAATAACATTGAAAGTGGCTGAATTATCTTTTATTGATTTAATTATCAATTTAAATCATTTAAATGACTATCAATTAAAAGGAAAGGCAAGCTTGACGTAAGAGATATTAGTTTCACAGACAATGCTCATTTTATTTGATATCTGCTAAGTTCAGAATAAAATAATTTTAAAAAGAGTAAGGGAAACCTTCATGGAGGAGGCAACATTTTAGCTGGGTCCTGAAAGATTTTAACAGGGAGAAATACAGATGGGGAGATAATTCAGACACAGGAAATAGTGTGAGCAAAATTTGAGAGGGACACTGCTGATATGTTTGAAAAATGGAAAGTACTGAAAGCTGGAGTAAGTAGTAATAATATATAACAAGGCTGAAAATACAAGTTGGAATCCAGATTCCATGGATTGATCATTGTGTAGATTAGAGTTCTTAATTCTTCCGGAATTGTTCATTTTGACCATTTTAATGTTATGGTATAAATTATTCTACTAGATCTGTTCATTTCTCTCTTTATCAATTTATACAAATCACCCAATAAGTCAGTGAAATCATCTCTTTAATTTCTTATAGTATCAAAGAATTCTTTTATATTCACATATATCTGTTCAGTCATTCCCCAATGTGGGTACAGACCTAGTCATGGTATCACTGGTTTAAAGTACATGCACAGTTATAAACTACTATCCAGAATGGCTGGATCAATTCAAAGCTTCAATGACAGTGTTATCAGTGCACCTATTTTTCCAAAGCCCCTCTAACATTTGTCATTTTCTTTTATTGTTGACATTGTCAATCTGATAGGTACAAACTGCATGTAAAGAGTTGTTTAAATGTACATGTAATTATCAGTGATTTGGATAATTTTTTTTTCTTATGATTACTTCCCTTGCACTGGATTGCTTTTCTTGAAAACTGCCTGTTCATAGACTTCAACCATTTATCAGTTCTTTACATAGTTGGTAAATGAGACCT